ACGCCACCGACGACAGCTGTGCAACACTCGATGGGGCACCCCAATAGCATCAGAGTAACTTGCTACGAACAACACAAGCCCCAAAGACAGACCCTCCTCAGGGGTACCAGGTCACCTTCAACTAGAGCCAGGAGGACCTAGATGACACCCCAGGAGAGCACAGAGAAATGGTGCTCAGGCACAACACACTGGAGAACTGCAACGGCCCCCAGTCAATGGCGTCTTCCTCCCAGGGTGCTCCCAGGTGCTTTCCAGGGGTGGTGAGGAAGAAGACCCTACTTGGAAACTGCCCACCTGGAAATGGTTATGGCCAGGGTTAGGGAAGAGGAACAACATTAGGGAGCTTTACACCCTACGCAGCACTAGCTGTTTTATAGAGCAATAAAGCAGAAGTTTTCCTTTAAAGAGGCTTAACACAGAGCTGAAATCTTGTGGATTATCTCAGAGATTGTGGCACACACATGGGTCACCAGAGGGAGGCAGGACACTCAGGTTCAGCTAAACCACAGCTCCTGTGGTCTTCAGGGCTGGGCAGAGCTGAACCACCTTCCAACAGCTACAGCTTTGCTTGGTCCCACCAGCAGCACCCTGCACCCTGCTCCCATCCCCAGCTCCTCATCTGACAACACGCCTCACCGTCCATGGATGAGGCACATCCACTGCAGACAGAACTCTCGGAGAAGCCACTTTTGTTATTTTAAAAGCAGAAAGGGGCAAGGAGACACAAAGAGAGAGATGTAAGAAAAGCTAAAGGCACCATCAGCAAAAAAACCCCAAACATATTATATCCAGAGTAAAAAGAATAAGGCAATTTTAAAAGAAATCATCATTTTGATGACTTGAAAAAAAAATATCCCATTATCAGGCAGGTTAAATAAAAAAAAAAAAACAGGAAAGATTAAATAAAATTCTTCAAGGGAGGGAAGGAGGCAGTAGGGGAAAAAAAATCAGTTCCTAAGCAATGCCTGAAGTTTGGCAGGCAGAAGTCAGCCCTCACCTTCTCTATATAACAGCCTGGAGTGGAACAGGTCAGCGAGGGAGACGGCTGGAGGACAGGGTGCTTCCCTCCACCCAGCGGGGTGCTGGGGCCACTGGGACCCAGCACTGCCAGCAGGGACACAGCCATGCTTGGAGAGGTAATCTCCTCCCGAGGTAAGGAGATTTTCATTTTAATTTTGCACCGGTTGCTTTACACAGGAAATGTCAGCTGAATGAGGGCAGTTAATATAATCAGATATAGCTTAGCACCACAACAAATACATCCAGCAGAGAAAATAAAGACAGGCAGGGATAATTTCACTAGACCTCCCTCGCTTCCTATCACTCCGTTCCTTTCTCTTCCTGAAAAATTACACATTTTTAACAGGTGAAACAGGCAGATTTCCCTGCCTCAAAACAGTAGGTTAGCACTGATGGACAGAAAAGCCATATGGGAACCTACAAACAACTAACCTCCTTCCAGCTGTACGTTTTCTATACTGCCCTCATCCTGACAGTACAGGAATGTTTTTGTTGGGCACACTGTGCCCATTGCAGCAGTGCCACCCTTTTTCCCCCATCCCCACTGTAGGTGAGGCAGAACCAAATTAAACTTTTGGTCAAAAGAACTTTTGATCAAATAAAAAAACCCCCAACCACTCGTGAAGCTAAAGAAAGTACATACTGCCAACACCACCAGGACTGCCTGTTTCGGGTAAGCTTTCTAGAACAACAAAATAATTCAGTCTCAGGTCAACCTAACACCTCAGGGTTTTTTGTTTGCTTGGTTTGGGGTGTTTTTTTCTTCCTTCCTCCCCACATCCCCCCTCTCTTTCACCACTTTTGTAGCTTTTACTTTACTGGAGTTAGACGATGGTGGCCAACACCCTGAATTTGGCTGTTTCCATAAACAAAACAACCACCTTGGCATAAAACCTCTCTGAGATGAATCACATGGTGGCAGCGTGAGGACCAGCGGCAGGCACTGACCCTCCAACCTTTGCTTAGTGGAGCTCTTGGAGGCCTTTCAAGGGAAGACGCTCCCACAGTTCAGGCTGATTCCACCTCATCACCCTTTTGTCCCCACGGTCTACTGAAAGCGGTGAGGCAAGAACTGCTAAAAAAGCTTGTGGGTGGCTTGAAGAGTTGGTCTACGGACACTGCCATGTTGCTCTTTTTACCAGCTGGACTCTGGCTTTTCTTGCAGCACCACATCACCATGGCTGGATCCTTTTCAGATCTGGAACACACTTAACCATGTATAAGTCACAAGAAAATGATCAAAAGTACTGAACTTCATATTGCTTGAAACTCCACATGGGTCTATGTTCCACCTTGAGGGGGTCTAATGAGAACGGATGCTGGGTTTTCTGTGTACCCATAGACATGGCCAGCCCTCCAGGTTAGGGCAAACGAGTGGGAAGCCCCTTTTTGTGTTTCAAGTTGTGAATTAGTCTCAGACTTCTTTCCCAAAACTTAAATTTCAAATACAATTCTGAGCCTACACATTTCCAGGAAAAAATAGAATAAAACATGATGTTATAAAAGAGACCTCACCATTTCTCAGAAGGAAACCACTCCCTGACCGATGCCTCCGCTATCCAACGACTGGGAGAAGTCAGTATCTGCACTCAGGCTTGCCCTGGATTATGTCTATTCTTGGAAACTCCAAATGTGACCACACATGGACTAACTAGTCAAGAAAAGCCCCAAGAGCCACCTTTGATCTTCCTGTTTCATAAGTCCACACATCCTCAGTAACGACAGAGGAAAGAGAAATAAACTATTTCCAACATTTCCCATTCTCCTCGGAAAGCAGTAGCAGTACAAACTCTTGAGTTCTTTTTAGCAACATGCCTTAACAGCTTAGCCACCAGCGTGAGTTTGAACCACACTTTGGGTTTATGCTCAAGTCCACCACCCCTGCTTAGCCCTGCTTTAAATGGCCAAGCGTGACATGCTTGCATGTGGATACAAACCATCATGCTGGTCAGTAAGAGCCCTGTACCTTCTTGATCTCAGTACAGCTCTCTCCATCATCGACTGTATCATAGGCAATTAAAGCCAATGTCTAATGTCCTTTTCACCCCTATTGCTGCCTAAGAGCCATTGTCTTCGACCTGCAAAAAAGTCCTCCACGTCTCCCTAGCACGCTTTTGCACTCTCCCTGTTCTCTGGTTACAAATAGAAAGCTTTTCCCAGACTAACTCAAAAAAGTCATCTTCATGTCTCCCTGTCAAAGCACAGTTGTAGGGAGCACATCCCTAAAAGAGAAAAGGTAAATGATCTGTTAAAACTTTATGCATGGATAAATGTGAGAGTAGTTCCCAGACCCCAGAGTTAACGCCTGGGCGGAGTAAAACATGCATCGCTACTTGACAGATAAAGAACTGAAAGTTGGAGTGATGCTATGTGGCCTGCCCAGCTTTACATGGAAAGTGAACTTCAGTGGAGAAGTGAATTCTGGTCCTCTGCCCTGCTGCAGTGCCAGGGTGTGATACTCCTCGTCTTCTCCATCACTCCCAGACCATACATTTCCTTTGGAGTCAAAGCCAGCCAGGCTTTCTGTGCACACCTCCCTCCTAACATACCTTCTGCAAGCAGAATCACGTCCTGCCCGTGGTCCCTGGGAGTCGAGCAGCCCTAGCTGCGCACAGGGGAGGATGTCTGCGCACCCTGCCACCGCTTCCACCCCATGGGGCTGGGGGTGCTGCCGCGCAGGAGGACACCCTCTCCCTGCAAACCCTGGCTGGGCCCTCAGGCATGGCTCAGCTGATTACAGACTGGATTGGGCTCAAATGCTTTAAAAGGCCACAGCTGTCCTGCCAGGATCAGAGCACTCTTGGGGTGTAAACCACCCAAAGAAAACCAAAATCTTCACCAGCTCCAAGGATGCAGCAGCTCCCCATCAAGCAGCTGCCCATGCCCCAGCCCTCATCAGGCTGCTGGCTCAGCAAGAGTGAGACAGGTCCCCAAAAGCCTCCAAAAAAGCACAAGCTTGCATTCAAATCCACAGGGGCATCGACAGGCCTGGGCAGCCAGCGCAAGGTGCAAGCTAGGGGAACTGCAAGGCAGGAGAGCAGAGCTCCCCCAAAACCCTTGAAGCAAGCACTCCTCCAGCTCGCACCCTCCTCACATCCAAGATGGAGCACGGCAGGGTGGGCTGCCCATGCCGCAACCCCGGCACAGCCTTCATGCTGAGCAATCACCTTCTGGGGCAGGACAAGAGAAAGCATTAAAAATCCAGCTGCAAGTAACAGATAGCAAAGCAGATCCTGCCTCGATTCTTGGCTTCTGCACAGAAAGCTCCTCCCCAACAAATGCAGTTTGAGGCCGCAGCTAAAACAAGTAAGAACCTTGGTGTAGGTCTGAAGAAAATAACCTTTTTCTGAGCCCCACCCCAGATTTCCTGGGTTCCTCCAGTGGAGCTCACATCCACACTGAGAGCTGGTATCACAGTAAAGAAAAGGGAAATTAAAAACACCACACTATACAAGACAGTTACAGGAAAAAAAATCCACCCGGATACATTTTCAGGGCAGCTGTCGCACTAAAAAACTTCTAAGTTTCCTGTGCAAAGTCAACTTGGGAAACAGAAACGCACGTGAAGTAGATGGGAATCATTATGGAATAAAAATCACCCAGATCTTTTAAACATGTTCCATTTTAAACATGCTCTACATGCTCCTGAGCTTGCCCTTCAAGAGGTACCCAGCTGAAAAGTACGAGTGGCAAAACCGATCCGTTTGAAGGACAACTTCAGATAAATGAACCAGATCAAGCACAAATGGGCTCCCTGGATCTGAGATCAGACCAAGAGCAGAGCGGAGGGCAGACACGGCATAACCCGTTATGAACAGCCCCTTCCAGTTTTCCCCCATCGCTCAAGAAACCTCCAGCACACAACAGCACGTGGCCCCTGTGCAGAGCACCGTCCCCTTAGGTACTGCATGGTAACGGGCAGCAGGAGTACGCACCGGAGCCCAGCTCTTAATGGAAACAAGCCAAAATAATTCCCTTACCTTCCGTGAAGCTGCCTGTAAGAGTTATGACGACAAACACTTTGCCTTCTGGCTCCAAATCCACCTGAAAAAGTAAAGGAAACATTAGAAGATTGTTTTTCAAGGCAAAGACTCTTCTCGGGATTTTGCATGATAAATCTTGCCAACATTTGATAATATTTGAAGTTCTCTGTATATATACTCATGCACACCCTTAAAAAAAAAAAAAAATGCATGGCTCAAATTGTTCAACATTCAGGGCTCCATAAAAGACAAGGAACTTGATTACTTCTTTTTCCTAGAAGTGCTGAACAATCTCAACCTTGCTAGAGGAAAAAGAGACTAAAGAAAAAAAATATGGTTAATAGTGTTCCAAAAATAGTATTCAGATAAGCGAAGCAGGAGTACCATTAAACACATGCAATTCTCTGAAAAGATCCATACATATCTGTTTGGTGAATTATACGGATATTTCCTCCCATTGAAATCTTATCCCACTGAAATTCTTTCAGTCTCTCAAAACACCATCAGTGCTGGGGTAAACGCTGATTTCTTACATAAATCACCTTTTGGCCTTAAACCATAGAAAATCGGAAACGGTTAGTGCTGTTACCTAAGGACTTGTTGTTGTTTAATCTAAATTAGATAGAGATACAGACTATAATGTTAGGGATCAGAGATTCAATCCAAGTGTCGGTCAGCCTGTCCTTGACAGAAGGTATTTATTCTTTGGTGATTAGATTTTTCATTTTTAGTTACATTTTTAATTAAGGTCTTGCTTTTGGTTTTTTTGTTTACCAGCTAGTTTTTAGCAAAAATCACAGCTAAGGACCCCTGAAGTTTGACTCAGGCTGTCACACAGAAATCTCGCTTTAAAAAGGTTAAAATTACCAAAAAGGAGCTTCACACCTCGTGGATATCAATAATCTGTGTGGAACAGAAACTCCGAAAATAGAGCTCTCTGGAGGAATGACTAAACACGAGTGTTCAAACCCTCTCTGCTCTGGTACAGCCACTTTTCCCTGGTCTGGCAGAAATAGCAGCAAGTCTTCTACGTCAGCAGCACTGAGTTTCATCATGGGGGTGCACAGAATTTAATATACCTTGGTGTGCACATTGCAGATTAGAAAAATATTTCCTCATCCTGCAAGAAAGGATGATGAACCCATGCCCCCTCTTTTTTCTCGGGTAACACACAATGTATCCTGCCAACGCATTGTTTCCTCTCCGGGGTTAGCACGTATCACATTATTCAAATAAACCTCTAACCAGAAGCCTAAGCCCCCGCAGCAACGGTGTAGGGACCGCCACTAATCCAGACGACATTTGCCCGTGGTTTGCAAAACCCTGCCACGCACCAACCGGTCCTTTAAGTGAATAACATTAAGATAGAGGTAAAAGGGAAAGCTGAACTCTATATACCTAATGGAGGAGCCAAACGGCCGTGCTACAAACAGACAGAAAGCGTCTGCAGGGCTGTAACTGGGGGAAGAACGTGTCCAAGCCGGACTGAGTCCACAGCGTTAAGGTATGGCTGCACTTTCTGCCGGCACCTCCACTCCTAGGGATGCTGACGGCAGCTTCACCAACACGAGCCAAGGGAAAACAATCTTCTGGGCGAGTGAGGGGGAAGCAGAGGCAGCACACGACATCACCATACGTTTCCCTAGCCTGCAATTTGTTGCAGAAGCAGAGAAATTGTTTTTTAAACTACTGGGAATTTGTTAGGATGAGCAGAGCAAATATTTTCGGAGAAAGGATGAGAGAACATCCTATGCACATGACTCCAGCTACAGCCCAGAAGTGACACATCTCAATCAACAGGATACAAAACAGGGAAGCTAGAACTGCTCGGGGAAAATCCTATCAAAATGCTGATTTTATGGACGCTATATTTTCCACTTTAAAAAAAAAAAATCAATCTCACAGGGAGAATTTAAATTAAATATTTAGCTTTGACTCAATATTAATTTTTGTGTTTGCTTGGGCTGTTACTACACTGGCTTTAGGAAGCCGTGTTTGAACAGCCCTCTGCCTCCATTAACATGGAAGACATTCCCCAAATAAACTTCAACTCCAGTGATATTGTGAATCATATCTGCCTAAGCTTCAGTTCACTGGAGAGATGGGCAGCTTGGTAAGGCAGTAGTTCTTTCAAAAGTGTATAATATCTATAAAATATATACATATACAGTCACCCAAACCGATTTATGGGATATCAAGAATTCAGATTTTATGGGAAAATCCTTACTTAGGATTCCAAAATCATTCTTCAGTGCTTATCATTTTTCTGCCAGTCTCCATACACTGCAATACATTAGACTCCTGCTTTCACATGCACAAAGACGATCCTGCCTCCCTTCTTCTGACACACACAGTCTCCAGTGGGATGCGGAGCAACTCCTGCACTCCTCGTTTAGTCTTAAAAGCGAAGGCTTGTTCAAGGCACAGGCAGCTGGGCTGACACCAGGAGATGCCACAAAAGCATCACCCACTTTCAGCACAGGGCACAACCAAAAATTGGTCCGAACTCTGTGACACACCTTGCTCTCCATCACTGCAAATGTGATGCCTCTGCCCAGGGTAGCATCGTCTTACAAAACAGAAACAAAATAATTCTGAAAGCAATAGCAGGAGATTTATGAGAGTTATAAAACAATCTCTCTCCCCTCCAGACTCCAAGATGAAAGAGCAGTCAAATTCC